GTGATCTTACCCAACTCTTTCATAAAAACTTATGAGGTATGTGCTCTTGTTTGATTATCACCTTAGAGCACAGAACTAACATAAGATTGTACACCCAGATAATATTTATGGAATGATTCCTTCTTCTTCATTTTGCTTTTTCCTCACACAATCATAACATTGTTTATATCAACACACACAACTAGGGAATAGTGTATCAAGGATTCAAAACCAGGTCTCTTGCTAAAATAGATTTTGGTAGAAAAGACATTGACATCAGGAAAAAATATGAATTGATGCTAAGAACTAATGAAGTTTTTTGATAACATTAAAACAATAGAGTTGATTTACAACAATATATTCAATTCAGAAATAAGTGGTTGAAAGGCTTTCTTCTTTTCCTTTAAAATAATATAGATGCTTTTTCATATAATTACTAAAAATGTGATTGTGCCAAATAAAAATTTACTATTTTTTCTCATACAAGTATTATTATTTTTTAAGTCTAAGGAAACTCTTCAAAATGAAAATTATTCTGTTTTGAATAGAACTGATTTCAGTTGAAACATTGAAGTGATTTCTATACATACAGTGTACTTGGAATTACATACTAGTAATGTTATTAAGGGAGCTCTGGTAGCATAGTGGCTAAGACACTTGCCTGCTAACCAGACGGCTGGCGGTTCAAACCCACCAGCCACTCCTCGGAAGGAAGGTGGGCAATCCTACTTCCGTAGTGATACTGCCTCGGAAACCCAAGGAGGGGTCGCTATGAGTCGGGGCCGACTCGACGGCACGTAACAACAACAACAACAATGTTATTAAAGGGGTGCTGGTTTGGTGAAAATGGTTAAAGTGCTCAGCCACTAAACAAAAGGTTGATGGTTCAAGTCCATCTGGAGACACTTCGAAAGAAAGAACTGGTGATCTAGTTCCAAAAAATGAGTTATTGAAAATGCTGTTGAGCACAGTTCTGCTCTGACCCATGCAGGGTACGCCATGGTTGGTGGTGGTAACTTATAACTGGGAATACTATTTATGCAATTATAACTAATTATGAAAACTTGAATTACTTCTTAATTTTTTTTCCAGGCACAGATTCTATTATATATGCTAATTCACTTTCTTAAACTTCCATCTCCATAACCCTGCACTTTTCCTCCAACTGAAAACTTTCACCTTTCATTCAAACTCCTTCCCATTTTTTATGGAGCAACTTAATAATTCACTCTATAAACATCTCAGCTCAAAATGTTTCACATTTTTTAGCATTTTTGCTAGACTTTTGCCTGTATCTCACCACTCCACATATGAATATACTATATGTATAAATATGTGTGCATGTGTTATGTTATTCTTAATTTTCAAATATTCAAAATATATTTGAAAAGAATATGTATAATAATTGAATAAAAAAGCATACATTTTTATTGTATGTATTCTCCTAAATTTGCTAATTGAAGTTCTCATAACAAAACAATGGGGAAAGGTATAATTCTTATTTCTGTCTGACATAGTAGGGAAATGAGGGCGAGAAGGGTAAAGATCTAATCTACAATCAGACTGCTGTAAGTGGCAGAACAAATGCTTTACCTTAAAGCCTCTAACACTATTATCATAGTACTTTGTACTCTCTTCACTAGTTTATAGCATGATTTACAAAAAATCTACCAGTTTAATTCTTTGTATTGAAAAAGCACTGAACTAAAGGATCCAAAGTGTCATTGTACACTTAATATTCTGATAAATGATCAATTTAAAGCTTAACCACGTAGGTCTGGTTCTCCATAGGTATTAAGAACAAACAACAAGTATATAATCTGCTGATCTGTATATAATAAAAACAGCTTTTTCAGTGTTATGATAAATGCAGGGATATGCCTAATTAATATGCTGTCCTGTTCATCAGGAAGTCTTTTCTCTTATTCTTGAATCATAATTTTTATCAATACATTAATGCCTCAAAAGACTGGAAGAGAACATCTTTCATTGATAAGGAAACATTGGTCTTAAACCCAGTTTTCTCTGGCAGAGATATCAATTTGTAAGGAAGTGTAGGTGGTTGACATGAGGCCTCTGCTTCAGCTGAGTGAGGGTTGATGGAACAAGGTGGTAAGCCAGGTGGAGGTTTTATTTGCCCTGAGTGACTGAGCACAGTCAGCTCAGTGATGAATTACCCAATAAGAAAGGTAAGCATGGGCTTACTTGTGCATACATACTTATCTGTAGTGAACAATTTCATATTTTTCACCACATCAAAGATTTTATTTCCACGCATAGTTGGCATCTGTCTCTCCCAAACACATGATACCTTCCTAAAAATTCAAAACCTTTTTTCAAATTTACAGTCCCTGACAGGGACAGAGTACCCAGTAAGCAACATAAGCACAGTCTTATTAGTGCTTCCTTACTAATCTATAGTGAAGAGTTTTGCATGTTTTTCAACATAAGCCCATGTGAAATTGTTCACAACAGTTTAGTAAATAATCATGTTAACCCTCACTTATCTTGCTTATTGGGTAATGCACATGTGGGTCAGTTACAACAAAAAGCCCAGTGGTGGCAAGTTGAACACAATGTAGACAGCAGGAAGCATCAAAGACAAGCTTTGTATTTTCCTGTGGCTGTTCTTGGGCACTGTGCTTAATTCAAACTCCCTTAAAATCTGAAGCTATTATATCATACTGTAATTCCAATGTCATTGTGTTTAAATTCCTTCATTAGAAAGAATAGACTTAATGAACAAATCTTAAAATGCGATTACAATTTTCTTTATTGTTAAAGATTTCTTTGAAGATGAGGAAACTATGCTTAGAAGTTAACTTGTCAAAATCTAAGCTGATTTTTTCCCCAGGTGATCCTGCTGCCAAAATCCTATGACTCCCAAAGCATATTGTTTCATTTACTCCCTTTGAGTGTAAAGTAAATCTGTTTTGCTTAGCTGCTGTTGACTCCATGCACAATAGAATTGAACCATAGTGATTCATAAAGTTTTCATTGGTTGATTGTTGCAAGGAGATCACCACACTTTTCTTGCTTGTCCATATTAGTCTGTAGGCTCCCCTGAGATGTGTTCAGCGATTTATCAGCATGTATGTCTCCATTGACTGGACCTGGGGGATAGCTGTACCTGAGGACTGTTGGCCAGGACTTGAACGTGGTCTCTGACATGGAAGGCAAGAATTTTACCATTGAACTGCTGCTGTCCCAAATTAAGTAGGGAAGGTTAAATCTTTTAATTATTAGAGTAATGCTTAGTTAGTGTTTAAGGGCAGAAGAAAGTACTATGTACATGAATGAGTCATTCTTTTCTCATCAGTGGATCATTTTAATGTAGTTCAACAAATGGGCTGACCTTACCTTTTCTGACTAGTCTTCCTTGGTCATCCTACTCTTTTTTGCAGAAAGACCCCAAATAGTGCTCTGATTTGTTTCCTATTGGCATTCTGCGAAACTCACTCTTTTTCTACATCATGTATCATTTTCCAAAAGGGGCTAGAAAATTAGAACTTTTCAATTAGTTTTTGAAGGGTTTTTTCACAGTATTTAATTTTTAAAAAACATTATGATTATAAAGCTAATTCATATTAATTCTATATTTAAAAAAAATATATATAATTTGTCCTGCTCTTATAAGTAATTACAATTATTTTATATATAATGATTGGTAGTGATATAGAACATAGTTCAAACTTTCTATCATGAACAACAGATTATTTACTTCTGATGGGTATTTGCTCATAAAAACATATAAGGTATTTATGAGCAACAAAAGTTGTGGAGGTGACTGACTCAAAAGAAAATTTGAATAGAGTTTTTGAAAATCATATTTGAATTCACTCTGACTGCTAACTGATGGGTTAGAGGTTCAGGGCACCCAGAGGCATCTCAGAATAAATGCCTGGTGATCAATCTACTTCTGGAAAATTAGCATTGAAAACCCTGTGGGACATACTTCTACTCTGAAATCCACAGGGTCTCTGTGAGTCAGAATTGACTTTATAGCAACTGGATTTACCCTTGTATTTACATGATTGTTTTCAGTTGCATACTTCAACCAAGGCTTTGGTGGCTGCCTGTGATTTCCAAGTAGTCTCTTTTATTACTAAGGACCAATACAAGCTTATTTTCTCTTCCTCATAACAGACTCTAATGCTTTACACTCATTTTCTCATTCTTAGTTAAAACATTAAGTTGTGTAAAGGTCTTGATAGTTTTCATATGGATTGAGGTGACAAACTCCCAGTTACTGAGTTGCTGCAATAAAGGCAATGTACAGTACTTCCGTAGTGATACTGCCTCGGAAACCCAAGGAGGGGTCGCTATGAGTCGGGGCCGACTCGACAGCACATAACAACAACAACAACAACAGTACTGGTAGGTACTGAGGGACCAGATAAACACATGCAAGTAATAAAGGCCAGTCAGATCTAGCCCACTTTTGTTCTCTCTGACAGACTGCTAAGTGTTATATTATAATCTGAAACTTTTCATGCTACTGAAAAATTGGAAGAGTGGCCTGATAAAATATAGCTCTTATTTGGACCCATGTGATCACTACTGTTCCTGATCTGTTCAGTTATTCACATTATCTGTTCAACTTCTGTGAAGATATGAGTTATAACATTTTGTATAATTTTGTCCCATGTAACATCTGGTCAGTGCAGTGAATATAAAACTTAAAACTTACTGGTTTATTCATTATGGGATGAATCAAACTATTTTTTTTTCTTTTGCAGTAAGTAATGTGAATTCATTTGAAATATGCTATTTGTTATGAAATACATGCATGTAGATAACCAACAACTTAAAGAATACATGTTTATTTCTCAAGATCCCATTATGCTTCAGAATTAAGAGAAGAGCTGCAAAAGAATAATCAAGGAAAAGCAAGTGGGACTTGTAAAATATGGTTGGGATCCAATTTTATTTTTGTCCACCTCCATGAACGGTTTTATGATTATGTCCTTTGCAAACAATTAGCTTGAACATTTGTTGATGATCTGTTTTCATGACTTGATATGGAAAGGACAAATGAGACCACTGTGACAAAATTCATTCTCAAGGGCTTCTCAGATATTCTTGAACTAAGACTCCTTAGCGCTGCATTTATACTTTTCATCTATCTCTTTGCTCTGTTGGGAAACCTCTCCATCATTGCAGCTGTGACCAGAGACAGTCGCCTCCACACTCCCATGTACTTCTTCCTAAAGAATCTGTCTTTCTTGGATATGTGCTATACCTCAGTCATCATCCCCAAGGCACTGATCAACTCACTCGTGGGCTCAGGAGTCATTTCCTTTTGGGAATGTGTAGCTCAGCTCTTCTTGTTTGTAATGTTGTGTGCATCTGAGTGCTTTTTGCTCACATCCATGGCATATGACCGCTGTCTGACCATCCACAGGCCCCTTCTCTATGGGGTCATTATGAGTAGAAAGTTGTGCACAGAGCTTGTTATTGTAGCCTGGTTGAATGGAGCTCTCTATGCCATCTTTCACACAATCAACACCTTTTCTCTCCAGTTCTGTGGGCCCAACGTCATTGATCACTTCTTCTGTGACATCTCCCCTATCATGAGACTCTCTTGCAGTGATTATCACACCAATGAAGAAATTGGATTTGTAGTGGGTGGGTGCATGATTCTTGGTGCCTTTTTCCTCACCATAATTTCCTATGTTCTCATCATTTCCACCATAGTTCAGATCCACTCTGCTGATGGCCGTTGGAAGGCTTTCTCCACCTGCTCATCTCACCTGGCCACTATCATCCTGTTTTATTTCAGTGGGAGCTTAGCTTACCTGAGTCCTGCTTCCCATTACTCTCCCACGCAAGGGCGGCTAGTGTCTGTGTTTTACTCCATTATCACACCCAGCCTCAACCCTGTTGTCTACTGTCTGAGGAATATGGATATGCAGGCGGCCTTGAAAAAAATATTTGTTCCATCCAAATAAGCATATTTTCTCTTACTGACCATATTGCCCTGATTATTGCCCTCCATTGTCTTTGTACTTGCTTATATAAATTACTCTCTTGCAGGCATGGAACCCAGATTTTGCATCTCATAAAGCAACGAAGAAAATAATGAATATATATCATGGTGTTTATTTTGTTAATTATTGATATTACAAAGGAAAGGAAAAAAAATGTATCATATGCTGTTATTAGCTTGTCGTTAAATAAGTCTATTTTAAGATTCCAAAAGCCCAAAGGATATAATCTTAGAATTAGCAACAACAATAACACTCTTATCAGAGAAGGGACATTAATGATATAAGCAATATAACCATGTATGATAAACACATCTATTGAGATACATAAAAATTTATTTCTGTAATTTTTTATTTTTATAGAAAATTTCTAGTTTCATAGTTTCTGCCCAATGTGCAGTTTGATCTCCTATCTAAAATCTGAATTTGAAACAATACTTAGTGCTATTTTGGTCAATTTTAATTCTTTTTCAACCTCAAAAGATCCTCAAAAGAAAACAGCCATTGTCCATTTAGGCTATTGCCCACTACCTTCCAGCATGCTGTAGGGAGAATGCTCTCTCTACGTGTCTTATTTGCAAATGGTGGCGTAAATAGGGCTGAACAGTGCTTACCATTTGGTGGCTAATTCCAGGGAGAATCAAGTTTAGGGCTCTCCTTACTAGATATGAAGTGATTGGGAATAATTTTACAATGATGTCTTTGCCTTCTAAAGAAGTAATTAATGTCCACACTCAGCAGGCTTATTTGTGTTGCTTAACCACTGAACATATGCTTGTTCATGTGCATAACATGTCAAGTTAATGGAATGGATTTCTGGGAAGCTGTTCAACATGCAGCCATGGATATGGGAGAACCATAGTATCTTTAAATGTTCTAGAAGCAAATGAATGTTACCAGTGTTTGCAATGACATTTTTTTTTTCTTATTGATGTAGTAGGTGAATATTTATCTCATTAATTATTTAAATTTACCATAATTTATTGATCTTATCCATACATGTGTCATGAGACTTTCAATTGTAAAAATCAGGTCTGCATTTGTTTATTAGCATTTTTGTGATGTAGCACAAACACATATCTTTGGTGAATAAAAGGCAATATAGAAGGATTGGGTACAATGACTGCTTACATTGCTTAAAATACCAACATTCTCTAGTCCTGCTCTTATGCTAAAGATTGTAGTGGCACTATGATTAAGCCTTCTGTTGCAAAGTGAAAGGTCAAATTTTGAACCCACCAGTGTTTCCATGGGAGAAAGCACCTGGCAATCTACTGCTGTAAAAATTACATACCATAAAACCTTATGGAAATTTTGTATTTTGTCATATAGTGTTGCTATGAGTCCAAATTGATTCTATATAAACCAAAAAACAAACAAACAAACAAACAAACAAACTCACTGCCATCAAGTCGATTCCAACTCATACTGACCACCATTGAGTTTTCAAAACTGTAAATCTTATGGAAGTAGATTGCCTCATCTTCCTCCCATGGAGCAGTTGGTGGTTTTGAAATGCCGACTTTCTGGTCAACAGCCAAATGCCTTACCCTCTATGTCATCAGAGTATAGCCCTTTTTAAAAAAACATATATTAGGCTTGCTTATAGTGAGAGAGATAGCAATATTAGACTATGTATGTTTTATTCCTTATTACAGAAACTTAAAAAAAAACCTGATATAATTTTCCTACAGCTTTAATTTCTCTGTCTCTCACTTAAATACGTACACACCTACATAAACACATTAACATGTAGCAAATATTTTCCCTTTGTAAAACTTGAAAAAGAAGTGTCTGGAATGTGTCCATGTGGTGCAGGGAGAGTTGGAAACAGTTAGAGGAGAGGAGAAGAGAGGTGATTGTACCCAAACAGCTTAATTTAATAGACATCATCTCCACAGAGCCTCAGCAGTGTTGATGCTCATAAAATCTAATTAAATTAAACTATTTAGGGTTATATAAATATAACATGTTAGAGATCTTGAAAATTGAG